TGAAACCCATCGCCCCCCCCCAGCACCTGGTCCCCTCCTGACACCCATCCTCCTGGCACCTGTCCCCCTAATACCCGTCCCCCTAACACCCATCCTCCTGGCACCCATCCCCCTGACACCCATCCCTCCCTAACAAAGAGGAGACACGGCACTGATGGCAACAGGACTGGGCGACGGCACGTGGCTGTGGGCGCTGAGCCATGCACGCCCGCCCGGGAGGTGACCCTCCCCACACACAGCCGCCTCCCCGTCCAAGGGCACCTGAGGTGTCACATCAGAGAGGAGGGGCTGCGCACTGGCCAGGAACCTCCTGGGACGAGTAAGTCAGGGAGCAGGGCCTCACACTGTCCCTCCTCGTGTCCATGACTCGCCCGACCCCAAAGCAAAGGGAACATGAGCCCCCTCATCAGAGCGTGCGGGGCAGACGTGGTCCCGTCCCGCTCGCTCGCAGCCTCCGGGGCGAGGTGCCCCTTTGCTCTACGTGGGCGCCCGAGGGGCAGCGCGTACCTGGCCCTCCGCACCGCGTCCCCGTGCAGGAGCAGCCGCAGGAGCAGCAGCGCCGTGCCCTGCGCAGCCAGCAGCACGAAGGCCCAGCGCAGGAAGCTCGTCCGGAAGGGGCTGGCGTAGGTGCCGACGCCCAGGCTGTGGCTCAGGTCGAACTGGATCTGGTTGTAGCAGAGCTCGATCAGGCCTTGGCCCAGGCAGAATTGGGGGAACAGGGTGAACACCCACTTGAGGACCTCGTAGATGGTCTGCAGATTCTGCACAGGGAGAGGGAACAGAAGCCCAGCTGGGGGCTGCTCACAGGCCCCGCTCTCCTGCGCCACCCCCACCCCGCCCGCCCTGCCCAATCCCAGCCTCTGTCACACTCTCTGCGGCCAGCAGTGGCTCTGTCTGCTCCACAGCCCGGGTCTGAGGACGCCGCCTGGCTGGGAGGGACCCGTGCCGGTGTCTCCCTGTAGGATGGAGTCTTTCCCACGCTGCCCCCCATCAGTTCGGGAGGGAGCTCATCTGCCTCCCAGGCTCGTGGCTGGAGAGGAATTCTCAGGACGAAGAGACCTGAGTCGCCCGGGCCTGGCAGGTGGGATTCAGGTGACATTTCAGACCTCAGAGCTGGTGCTGAAATGAGCTGCGGCTTGGGGTCTGCTGGGATGACATGAATGTATTCTTCATGCGAGAAGGACACGGACTTGGGGGAGTCAGGGTAGAATGTTATGGACTGAGTGTGTGCGGCCCTAATAGCCATCTGGGGAGGCCCTGACCCCGCGATGACATTGGGGGCGGGGCTCTGGGGAGGTGACTAGGTTTGGCGATGGCGGCGCTGACCTGAGCCCTGGTGACGATGGCCAGCAGCCGGGGCATGGTGGTCATGAGCAGCGTGCAGAGGCCCAGGACGAAGTTCAGCGAGACGTAGGCGATGAAGGCGACGTCCGCGCTGGGGAAGAGCCCGGACATCAGGTACATCCACGGGAGGGTCGCGTACCTGGAAGCCAGGCGGACACGTGCTTACTCCCTGCTTATTTGCATGAGGATGGAATGACCGGCCCGGCCGCCTTCCTCACTCGGTGGACAGTTTCCTGGCTCCGGGGGACCTGGCACCCTCCCCCGGCTCTCGGCACCTCGTTCCCGCAGCATCCCCCATGGAAGCAGCCTCAGCGCTGGAAGGGAGCGAGAACGCAGCCCACGGCGGCTCAGAGCCCCCCAGTTCCTGCCGCGGACACAAGCCCGGTGGAACGGCCGCGCGGCCCGTCAGTCACGCACCCGAACAGCATCAGCAGGAGGGCTGTGGCCGCCAGGTTCTCGCGGAAGGTGAAGGCTGGCAACCCGAAGGCCGCGACCACGGCGACACACAGGCCGACGGAGACCGCATAGAAGAGCTGAGGAGACAGAGGGCACCTGTGGCAGCTCCGCCGACCACCATGGCGCACGCTGTCCCACAGTGCCGTGCGTTTACGGTGCTCATCGCAGGCTCCGCAGCCGGGCTGGCCGGTTTCCCAGGCTTGTGTGTCCAGGCCCAGCGCCCTCTGGTGTCCTGGACATGGACCTGGAGCTGGGCTGGCAAAGGGTGATCCCGGCAAAATGAGAGGAAGGCCGGACCAAGGCCAATGCGACCGGTGTCCTTCCAGGAAGAGGAGGGGACACCGAAGGGCACAGGGTAGCCATGGGGACACAGGAGAAGGCAGGGGTCTCGGGGGTCCTGGAGGCGGGGCCCCCCCAGGCCTATCCTCTACCCTTCTCCCGGGGAAGCTGTCGTCGCTGCATGTTAAATGGGGGGCATGGCAGCGTGTGGACGGAGACAGGAGGGAGCCAGGCCTGGGAGCTGGCCCTGCTCTGAGTGGGCGTGGGCCAGGCGGCCGTGTCCTCTCCTGACCCAGTGCCCCTCAGCAGAGGTGGGGCCAGGGCCAGCCTTTCTCAGTCTGGGCTGAGACCTGAAACCCCCCAGGGCCGACGAATGTGCGACTCATGCCCATGGCCCGGGCAAGACCCGCGGCAGGTCTGGGGGGCGTCTGTCCCAGAGCCCAGGCGTTGCACACAGGCAGGCGGGGGAAGCCTGATAGACTCCAGCCACCGGAGAGGCTGAGGCTGCAGACACCACAAGCCCAGCCACATGCTCAGAAGGGCCCGGACGGCTGAGCTGGAGCCTGCCGGGAGCCGCCGGTGACGCACAGGACTTCACCCGAAACGCTCTGCCCGTGAAATGACCCCTGCTCTGTTCACGTCTGAGGTGGCCAGGCCCCCCAAATAACACCACACACGTGTACACATACACACACACGTGCACACACACACGAACAGGTCACGTGCATGCAGGGACTCGGGTAGTACCCACACCTACCATGTCGTACAGGAAGTTAGCGAACCAGTAGGCCCCGTAGCCCAGGCCACTCAGGTGCTGCAGCCTCTTGGCTCCGGTCACCCGGTCCCTGACCACGGCGCTGCCGATGGAGGCGGCCAGGACGGAGACGCCCAGCACGATGCAGAGGGCCACGCCGCACTGCCGGATGCTCTCCAAGCTGCGGGGACAGAGCAGCTCATCAGGGGCCAAGAGCAGGGCCTCTGCCTGCCGGTGGGACCAGCCATGGAAACCTTCACTCATCACCCCACCACCTTTCCAGCAGGGGCACTGCTCCCACGTGCAGGGCATCACCGAGGAGGGCAAAGCTGAGGGACTTTCCCAGGCTGCGTCTCCAAGTCGGCTCCTGACCACTGAACCCGACCCCCCGTTACAAGGAAAGACGTCCCGGAGTTGCCACTGCGGGGCTGTGGCTTCGGCCGAGGTGGGCCTGCCAGACAGCAGCCCCCAGGGAGCGGGCAGGGGCAGCTAGTAGCTCCCCAGCTCCCGTGCCAGCCTCCCTCAGGGCCAGCGCAGAGCCGCCTCCACCGTCACCCAGAGATCGGTTC